ATCTTCTGGACTGTACGTCAACTGTTTCTTTCAGGAATGACTTGTCTTGACATTTGTCAACACAAGGACACTAATACACGATCGTATTTATTTCGTTTTTAGTTTTTTGGCATCCAATTATGAATGACATACACTTGGTTCACATACGACTGACACCCTCTGGACTCTACACCAACTGTTTCTTTCAGGAATGACTTGTCTAGGCCAAATCCATTGATATGACAACTTCAAAAAACGTTTTTTCGAAGCTAGAAATCATGATTTTTTTCAAATTTTTCCAGGGATACTTTGTTTTCTGCTCTCTAGACTCCCCCTCGCGGCTCTAGTGCTCCACCCCTAGAATTTATATAGACCTTACTGGGGTTTGGTGACACTTTGTGTTGCTTCAGTCACCTGCTCACGGCTCACCCCCCCCATAAAAAATATGAAAATCCGTCTATGTTCCAGACCCCATTGTAGATATAAGAAATCTATTAAATAAGTACTAGATAAAACATGAGCAGCCGATCATTATCTGACCTTATCTGAATCAGGAAGAAATCACGTAAAATTAAACAAAAACCTCATTCCCAGGGCATTTCCGTTCGCTTGGAGGATGGCGGGAAATGGCCAAGCGATATATGAAGGGAAATGCCTTGGAACGATGTTAAGCCCGGAGTATCTTGGATTTCTTAAGTTGCAAGTCGCATCCGGTTTACGGGTACGTGTGTATCACCCGTACCTGTAACCCGGGGTATCTTAACCTCTTTATTGTCACAGAATGAAATGGTGCCCAAACTGGTTCTTCGCTGCTTCGCTTTATTGTCACAGAATGAAATGGTGCCCAAACATGCCCAAGCAATGAATAAAATATTCTCAATGCATCCAGATGATAAAGGAAGAATGCTAGGGAGTGTGTACGAACGGAAATAAGTTTGTTCTGTTAGGCCTGTTTCAAACGTCGCGCTTCTCATGTGCCGAACGCATTAGAAACAATAGACAATGAGGCATTTCAGCTGATTATCTATTGTTTTTAATGCGCTCGACGTTTGAAACAGGTGTTACTTGTCACGATTCCTCCCGATTTACTATTCGAGAGATCGGTCCTCGTGAAAAGTATCAAATTTGTTCCCAGCCCTATAACACTCTATAAAAGACAACACGAGCCTTATTTTTTCCGATATGGGCCATTTTAGCTGATTCAGTCTTTCTACATACGATGTTTCGTGTCCATGATTATTCCTTGAGGCACACTTGGATGTTCTTCTTTGTACTTTTTCCAAAGCAGAAATGTCTTCCCTTAGATACGAAGTCCAGTTGAGAGTTTCGAAAACAAGAGTTCATCTTTAGGTCCCACTATACGTTTTCATTGGTTGACGCCAAACTTTGGGATTTTTCCGGAATTCTCGCACAGATCTGAAATTCATGATCTCATTCGAATTCTCCAGAGCTATACCCAACGGACTAGGACCAGGACGTCAGCATTTTGATGACGAATCATTGTGTGGCAGCGGTTTGCGCTTTTTTGGGCTGAGTCGACCTTTTGTGTCTCTTTATTCTGTGACAAATGCTGTATCACCCTGGATTCCAGAGCCTTCAGTAAATAATAAATTGAAACGTCGTGAAGGCTCTGGTTCAACGGGAGGATTCTTTGATTAAACCGCGCCAATCACAAAACAGAATTAGTGGTTTTAGTACAGATTCTGTACTAAAACCACTAATTCTGTATCAAAGAATCCTCCCGTTGAACCAGAGCCTTCACGACGTTTCAATTTATTATTTACTGAAGGCTCTGGAATCCAGGGTAATGCTGTATCGGACCGATACAAAATTGTATATGGCGATATTTTTTTACGCGTATACGACTACATAAATGTATCGTGTAGACAGGCCTTTGCACGACGAAGCAAAACAGTTTGATAACAGGAGATTAGGAGTTGACTTGTGTCTTAAGGCCGCGTTTACACTATATATGACGCTATGACAAATTTACCGTAACGTAGTGATTTGCGTCCGCAGTGCCAAACGTAGTGGTACGCTACGGCAAAGTGCAAACCACTCCGTTATAGTGTAAGCACAATATACTCTCAACACTAAAGACGTAGTAATTTTTTAACGGAATGTTAGCCGTAGCATTATAGTGTAAACGCAGCCTTAGATATCAAGGATTTGAAGTTATTCGAATTTCCGAAGTTATAGTGTTAATCAAAATACATATATAATGGTTTTTGCCAACTGTGTCTTCTACTGCAAGTTAACTATGAAATACCAAATACGAAACAAAACCCTACAGAATAATTACAGTAAATATATAAGAAAACCGTTAACATCAACAACTAAATACAAAGACAAAGTTTATACGCAAGCAATCTGCATAATTATAGTAATGCAATCCATAATCTACTTCCCATTTTCATTATTTTAACACTCTAGAACAACACGCATCACGGCTGCAGAGGTATTACTAAATGTTGTCAACAGCATCGACTCTCGAGTGGTTTACAATACGGCGAACACCCTCCGTGAACGTTAACTGCCAGCAAGCATTCTTGAGATGAATTATTTTATGATTATTGACATTGAAGTTCACGATACGGAGGACACTCTCTGGGCTGTGCATCAACTGCACGCTGAATGCCAGCTAGCAAGCATTCTTGAGACGAATTATTTTATATTTATTGACATAGTTGGAAAATACCGAGGACACTCTCTGGCTCTGCGCTCTGCACGAACGTCAGGCTAACTGCAAGCAAGCATTCAATGCAATGAAATACAATTTCATACAACAAGTATATAAAAGCCCAACACAACATCCCACGACCTATCAACCATTTAAAAGTATGAGCAGCTCCTATAAGGTATAATGATAAATATAAATATAAAAAAATTCAATGAGATAGAATAAAATCAACGCACAATCAAAAGAAGACTTTCAAATAAAGTCAAAATATCACCACATAAAATGTTGCCCTTTAAACCCTTAAACTATCTTTATTCTGAGATCGGATTGCGAAGTTTTAATTTTGATATTTGGAAAAAGGTGGATCTCATGCAGAATTAATATTTTCTTACTCATTACCAAAGCTCCCCTGATAACGAGATGGAAATTGATCATGCAGGGTTTAAAATAAATATAATTTTAATTTAATATTGGGCTGTTTGGTGCGTGTACCTTTTTCTACCGGCGATTTTTTTCAGGATCATGATGCCCAGCCAGTATAATGCAGGTAATTAAATAAACCATCACACAATAAAATTTTGAAATATTTACTAAAAACGACCATGGCTCTTTCATGCATTATGCTGGGCATTGATTTTCATCAAACAGTTACCGCCTTGTTCATGGCTACGAGTACCAGAAATTCATGGCTACCAGAAATTCATGGCTACCAGAAATTCATGGCTACCATAAATTCATGGCTACCAGAAATTCATGACTACCAGAAATTCATGGCTACAGGCTACCAGAAATTCATGCATGACTGCCAGAACGCTTTAACGCGATCCTTTTATGCCAAGACAGCATCTTTTTCACTCAAAACCTACAAATTAGATGAATTAATTAAGAAGAAAACCCCGTTGCAAATTTAGAAGTTGCCAGCTAGTGCTGTGAAAATGCTGGTGACATCCAGCAGACGGCTGCTATTTTAAACCCTGTGATGCTAACTCAAGTTGGAGAATAATTTATAAAGTACAGCCGTTATCTATATAAATTGTCCGTCAAACGAAGTTGATATTTGTGCGGTTATGGAAATTTTCAGTTCAGTGGACATTTTAGAACTGTGCACTTTTTTTATGCACTGCAAAAGTTTATAGAGGTGATATATTTCCCACCTTTGAAAAAAAGGACGAGGGAAGAACGTTCCTGGTTTACCCACGCCTGGGAAACATAGCCAGGAAACAACGTTTCTTGGTTTGCTCACCTTTGATCAACACTATAGCAGCTAGTTCCCTTGTCTCCTCTGTAAAAATTTTGATACAACTCCACTCGCATGATGCAATGTAGTTGTCCCTGTTCATCTTCCACTGTAATATGCTCATATTTCCATACCTTCCACCTTATTCCATAAAAGAATCACCCAAAAAGGGTGATGACGTTAATTCGTAATGTTAGTCCATAATGCAACATATCTTTGCTGACGACACACACACAAACGGCAAGCATAATGCTACATGAAGAAAATAAAAATAGAAACTATGAACAGCAAAAAAAAACCCGTCCAATTTCTTTCCTCTATTTCCTGTTTTCACATAAACACATCACTGCGACAATAATAACTGCAAGCATATTCATATAATCCAAACATTTTTCAATCTAGACTCAACTGTCCATCCTGCACTAATTCCAGCCATCGCTATCAATCCAGCTGCTTTGATAAGGATTATCACATGAGTACCAATGTTATGATGCTCTTAGTTTACCTGAGCTACTGTGTGGTGAAACACAAACTATAATACTGAGTTTTTGGTCACATCAGAAGTCCCAACTTGGTTCACGACCTGTGGATTCTGTGATGGTACACGCTAATACACGATAATTTTTCTCCTTTTTAGTATTTAGGCATCTAATTATCAATGATATACACTTGGTTCACAATACGACGGACACCCTCTAAAACTCTACACCAACTGTTTCTTTCAGGAATGACTTGTCTTGACATTTGTCAGCACAAGGACACTAATACACGATCGTATTTATTTCATTTATAGTTTTTTTTTTCATCTTCTGGACTGTACGTCAACTGTTTCTTTCAGGAATGACTTGTCTTGACATTTGTCAACACAAGGACACTAATACACGATCGTATTTATTTCGTTTATAGTTGTTTTTTTCATCTTCTGGACAGTACGTCAACTGTTTCTTTCATGAATGACTTGTCTTGACAATTGCCAACACAAGGACACTAATACACGATCGTATTTATTTCGTTTATAGTTTTTTTTTTCATCTTCTGGACTGTACGTCAACTGTTTCTTTCAGGAATGACTTGTCTTGACATTTGTCAACACAAGGACACTAATACACGATCGTATTTATTTCGTTTATAGTTGTTTTTTTCATCTTCTGGACAGTACGTCAACTGTTTCTTTCATGAATGACTTGTCTTGACAATTGCCAACACAAGGACACTAATACACGATCGTATTTATTTCGTTTATAGTTTTTTTTTTCATCTTCTGGACTGTACGTCAACTGTTTCTTTCAGGAATGACTTGTCTTGACATTTGTCAACACAAGGACACTAATACACGATCGTATTTATTTCGTTTATAGTTGTTTTTTTCATCTTCTGGACAGTACGTCAACTGTTTCTTTCATGAATGACTTGTCTTGACAATTGCCAACACAAGGACACTAATACACGATCGTATTTATTTCGTTTATAGTTTTTTTTTTCATCTTCTGGACTGTACGTCAACTGTTTCTTTCAGGAATGACTTGTCTTGACATTTGTCAACACAAGGACACTAATACACGATCGTATTTATTTCGTTTTTAGTTTTTTGGCATCCAATTATGAATGACATACACTTGGTTCACATACGACTGACACCCTCTGGACTCTACACCAACTGTTTCTTTCAGGAATGACTTGTCTTGACATTTGTCAACACAAGGACACTAATACACGATCGTATTTATTTCGTTTTTAGTTTTTTGGCATCCAATTATGAATGACATACACTTGGTTCACATACGACTGACACCCTCTGGACTCTACACCAACTGTTTCTTTCAGGAATGACTTGTCTTGACATTTGTCAACACAAGGACACTAATACACGATCGTATTTATTTCGTTTTTAGTTTTTTGGCATCCAATTATGAATGACATACACTTGGTTCACATTATGACGGACACCCTCTGGACTCTACACCAACTGTTTCTTTCAGGAATGACTTGTCTTGACATTTCTCAACACAAGGAAAGTCTATGACGTTTGTATTTATTTCGTTTTTAGTTTTTTGGCATCCAATTATGAATGACATACACTTGGTTCACATTATGACGGACACCCTCTGGACTCTACACCAACTGTTTCTTTCAGGAATGACTTGTCTTGACATTTCTCAACACAAGGAAAGTCTATGACGTTTTGTGAATCATTGGTGATACTGCTAGATCAACAAAAATCTGCAGACATCTACCAATCCTCTGATTGACGACTGCCAATAATTGTCTTCAGTTACCACTTTCCAGGTACTTGATGACAAGCAAAATAACAGAGGTAATTGACGTTGGTGATGAAACATTGCTCTCGAGCGAAGGCCAAAGCCTTTAAAACATTTGTTTCGTTAAAAATCGTGAAGGTCTGCTCCTTTCTCAATAAGATACCGAGCTCTTGTTGTATCGTTGCACGTTGAAAAGCGTAGAATAATGGGATTCTACCATACAGATCTCTTGCATTTATCGAAACTTCATCTGCTGCTCTCAAGAAATCTTTATCGCAATAAAACACAGCAGTTCTACCAACATCATCAGTTACGTTGAGGTCAAGGCCACTGAGAAATAAATGCGCCAATACGGCACCAAGGTTATTTTTAGCACCATGAAACAAAACAGCTTTTCCATCAATTTCATCTAAGTTAAATTTAGCACCATAACCAATCAACTCACAAAATACAGCCAGCCGTTTTACCCTCATCAACACGAATGTTGAGACCAAGTAGTTATTTTTTCCAGTAGCAGTATAGCCAGTATAATAGCAGTACGCAAAATTTCGCCAACTTCTTCACCCTGTTCGATGCACATGTACCAAATAGACTTTACAAACTTTACTCTTCTGCTCCTGCACTTCATTTCTAACATTTGCATCATCCACACTTAGTCTATCACCACCACTGGAAGCCGATCTTTCAACCGGTCTTTCCAAGTCAGTTTCCGACAACCATTACAAATTTTTCGGCTCAACCAAAGCGAACCCAGCTCAGTGAAGCATTGCGAATTCTCTGCATGATTCCAGTAAAATCCGGGTGTGGAATATAGTTGCCCAGCTGGAGAAGGAAGGTGAGAATATACTGTAACATCAATCTGGAATAGTCTATCAATCCATCGTTTGAATGTTGGCGCAATTCCTTTCGCTTCAAAGTCTACAAATTGTATAAAAATGAATCGTAAGTAAGGATTGACAAAAGACAATTGAGCAGTTGGGCATTTATCAGTTAAGCAGTTGAGCATTTTCTCATCTATGTTTTTTCAGTATATTTTATTTATTTATAATACTCATCCTTTATCTGAGATTTAATCTTAACTATAACACCAATAACTGTAATTTTATTTTTGTTTAACAAAACATGCACCGAATAACAGCATTTTGTGTATGTAACAAAAGAACACACGCGGTACGCGGTATTATATCGATTTTAATTCATACTCATCAAACTTCTCTACTCTTTAAATACTGTAACATCTAACAAACTACTTTTCATGGCAGGGCTTTTTTTAACTATATAACTGGGGGCAAAGCTTCCCTCCGGGGCCCACCCCGGTGCCCCTCGACCATTTTGGCCCCTCCTGTTCTTCCTCGAGGTTCAGTTATGGTCGTCCCTTACTTGTGAATTCAAGTTTCACATTTGAGCACAACGAGAAAAGGAAAAGTCGATTTTTCTTGGCAGAATTTTAGTTTAAATTATTTGCTTCATATTTTCTTTCTTTTGTCACAATAATCATACCTCACAATGTTCATACTCTTTATTGCTTTATATTACAGAAAGAAACCTAAACTGTGCTACCAACAGTTGATAATACTGTGTTACCCATTGGTTGATAATAACTTTGATATCAGACGAACTTCAGTCAGGAGCATGCGCAGACGTTTTTCCACAGTGTTAATAGGGCCATTTATACGAGCGAAAATAAGCCGCGGCCTAAATAAGCCGCGACTTAAATTGTGTTACCCATTGGTTGATAATAACTTTGATATCAGACGAACTTCAGTCAGGAGCATGCGCAGACGTTTTTCCACAGTGTTAATAGGGCCATTTATACGAGCGAAAATAAGCCGCGGCCTAAATAAGCCGCGACTTAAATAAGTCGCTAACGATTCGTATAAACAGTCAATTTGCAATAAGCCGCGGGTAAAATAAGCCCAGGCTTGAAAGCTATAGGCCTAAATAAGCCACGGCTTATTGGAAATTGACTGTTTATACGAGTTGTTCGCGACTTATTTAAGCCGCGGCTTATTTAGGCCGCGACTTATTTTCGCTAGTATAAATGGCCCTAACGTTTCCTGGTTGCCTCACCTTTGAAAATATGCTCGGAAATAATATTCATTGTTATACAATGGTTTATACGTACCGGCTTTCGAAAACATAGCATGGCTTGGTAATACTGCTTCCTGGTTTGTCATGGATAGTTTCCCTGGCACTCAGCGACGATTTTGACACAACTCAACTCCCATGATGCAATGTTGTTGTCGTTTCCATCCGTCACTGCTGTGCGGTAATATTTTATTCACACCGCCTTAGACGAAAGGCTTCCTTTTATGAAAGTCTAAGCCAAAAATTGCCATAATACCACATACAGATCTCCCATCTTGGTTCACGATATATAACATGATATACATAACACGTTTTTTTGCAGAGGGTAAAACACGGAACACTACGCCTTTCCTAATAAGCTTGCGGCTGTGACGTCGTCCGTTGTTTAGGACGGCCTGTAGCGTGCGCTTGAAAGGTTTAAGGTTCGTCCGTTGAAAATGGGTATCTTCACGAGACCACCATCATATATCCAAAGCAAACTTTCTAACCACCACCAGCCGACTGCGCGCATAATAAAGGATGGCAAGACTTGTATAACAGTACAAAACTTAGTGTCCCAAATAAGAACGAATAGAAGAGCGGTATTTCCACAAGTTACCAGAAAATAGTCATCTGGTGAGAAGTAGCAACATGAAATGATACACGGTTCTGAAACGAACGAACGCTGAATCGACATTGGACGTTGGTCGACAACACCGAACATATTTAACTTTTCAAAATATGGCATCACGTGATAGCTTTTGAACTTTAACGGGGACAAGTCTGTGATTGCTTTCAAGTAACTACACGGGCATCCAATGAAGCGTATGAGTAGACCTTGCACAACCATAGTCCTTATAACTGGTCAACTTTATTAACTCATTGGTATGGTGCAAGACGCAGTCATGCCAGTGAATGGTATCTTGTAGCAGGGAGTAAAAATGTAAAGATATATGTGAACAGATGTAAAAGCCTGATATGTCAGTCTAACTCCTGCAAAAGTTCGCTCCTTGAACTTGAATTCTTAACGATTTCACGCCATTCGTCTCTAATTTCGTGAAATCGGTGTGGGTGAATCGTTGTCCTGGCATGGAGAATTTTGACATGGACATCAACTGACAAATGGTAACCGGTTTCGCTACCAGACTGGATCATATGAGAAATTCCATACCTTGAGGAAGGAAATGGCTTGAAGCTGGACAAATTACTCAATGAAATAGTTTCATCAAACATCTCAACAGTAAAAGCATGTTGTTTATAACCATGCATCATACGTCAACCAATCACGGAGTGACTTGTGAAAAACAGTTAAACAATCGTCGTAAACAGGCAAAATCGAGGAAATCACTTCATCGATTGCCTCACGCACTTCGTACTCGGTATCATCAGACAGCAATAAACTTAATGGTAGTGGACCTTTAGCTACAACAAGGACGTCAAGAAAACGCTTCAAATTGACTTCCGATGAATTGATGGTTTTGAGTTGCTTTCCTTAGAAACAAGCTTCTCGCAAGATTTGACAATCAACTCTAAAAGCATGGTCTTTATAACCATCACACGTCAACCAATCACGAAGTGACTTGTGATAAACAGTTAAATATTCGTGGTAAACTGATGTCGATATCGTCAGGAAACCCTAGACACTCGGGCAATAAACTCAATGGCAATGGGCCTAGGGCCTCAACAAGGACTTCAAGAAAATGTTTCAACTTGACTTCCAAGGAAACAGGATCGCCGAGTTGATTTCTTAAATGCTTAAATTGCTTTTGGTAAAAACCAACTCTGCATTTGGAAAGAAGTTCTAAAATATTTTCTGTCGTTAGCTGTTTCGTTCTTGCATTCAACTCCAATTGAGTGTAATATGCGTAAAGAAATGATCCTTCGCATTTGCAAGCTAATGACTCAAGGACTGCGTCTTCATCACAGATAAGTGATAAAGAATTTCGAAGATACTTTACGAGATCCTCTTCGTTTTTCGTATGGCGCGAGGTAACGTGCTCCAGTTTGATAAACTGCAATTTTTCTTTCACTGGTAGCTCTGGTCTGCTTGTGATCAAGATCTTGATCTATGGCGGAAGGTTTGGAAACTCTTCCGAGATTAACTACAGAAATTCACTTTTTCCTCCAACCGCGCTTTCATCCAGTGCATCGATAACCAATAACATTGGTGCGCGTTCTCCGATCCCAGGGCATACAAAGGATCGTTTAAAAGAACACGAAATGCATCTAATAATGTTTTTCGGAAATGACTTCTTGTTGGTCATCAAGTTTAACTTTAAAACCTGTTATGTTATCGCACATATTTCTGGTCAAGGACTCGATTATCTTGCGCGGATCTCTGTAATGACAAGCTGCCAGCTTTCCTTGTTCGGCAATGACATAATTTGTTCACATATACGATGGACACCCTCTAAAACTCTACGCCAACTGTTTCTTTCAGGACTGATTTGTCGTGATACTCAAACGGCAACATTTAGTTTTTGATCACATCGCTAATACACGATCATTTTTTCCGTTTTTAGTTTTTCTGGCATCTAATTCTCAATCGGATGTACATGGCTTGGACACTCTCCGGAACTCTACGCCAACTGTTTCTTTCAGGAATGACTTGTCTTGACATTTGTCAAAACAAGGCAAGTTTATGGGGTCATCCATTTGGTACAAAGGCACGGAAGGGGGTTAAAAAATTGGCCAGGTTTTGCGAAAGCAGGTATTATAGTAACTGAAGGCCGATTGGAGAAAGTTACTTAAGTCACCAGACTTATGCTGCACTTTTTCATTTTTAATCATACTATTCTAATTACTAGAGTGGTAAATTGCTCCCTCGAGATTTGCTACTAGAGATTTGCACGCGCGGGATTTTTTATGTACCACGTGATGAACTTTTTGATTAACCTCGTGACCGCTCTGGAACTTCAACATCCGCCGATGTACGACTGGAAATAGCGGAGTTTTAGGCCTTTTATGATCGAGCAATTTACCTTTACAACACTTTAAAAGCAATATTTTGATTCTGATTCTCAAGGTGTGAAGGTACAGTCTACAACATTCTTCAACTGCAAAATACGCGATTGTTCACTCGATTGCTATTTATAAACTACAATAATAAATATACTTGGTAATGTCGGTAGACAAGCATACTAAGGCAATAAGGTTTGTGTTACCTCGATTTGCAGTTCTAAAACATGCTTGAGCATTTACTGTTCTTTTTACAACCCTATTTACCGTTTACATTAATCAAAGGTTATTTAGGCAATTTCTCCTGGCATACACTGGATTGTTTATGAACTTCGTTGGAGTTCAAAAGCAGTCATGAGATGTCCAAAGAGTTCATCACGTGGTACACGAGGTAAACACCGCGGGTGCAAAAGGTCTCGAGACACCAATTACCATTCCTAGTGAGATATATATATATATATATATATATATTGTCGTATTATATATTATATATTATTATATATTATAAATAATATATAATAATATATATTATATATATATAAATTTTAAAACTGTAGAAATGTACATTAGTGAAATACGGTAAAGTTACTGCAGCTGTAGCAGCAACAGCAACAGCAACAGCAACAGTAGTAGTAACAGTAAACAGGACGCAAAACTGATCTCGCCAATTCTTAACCCTGTTCCATGCATACAGCTATTTCAATTAAGGTTGTCCCCGAGCAAAGCGGAAAATTCGAATACGAGCGCGAAGGCTGCTGGGAATCGCTAAAAAATGCATTAATTTTTTAGCGATTCCCAGCAAGCCTTTCGCGCTCGTATTCGACTTTTCCGCTTTGCTCGGGGACAACCTCAATTGAAATAGCTGTATGTACCAAATAGATAACCCCAGCATCTCGTTCAGTCGACGATGATCTTAATAAAGAGAACATCATCCTTGATGTACTGACGGTTATTCAAGCTATCAAGAGGCATAAAGAGCGGGGAACCCGAAGCGATATTCATATCAGACTTCGGGCGTTGAAACGAGGAACTCTGAGGATCTGAATTAAACGCATCAATCATATGATCTCCATTGCCTTGATCCAAGAGCATCATCGTGATCTTCTTCTGAAATGGCCAGGTTTGAAGAGCATCGAAGTCACCTCTCATCACAACAAAAAACAATGACAAATGCGACCCTTTTCCAAAGCCATCCCCATTCATATATATTTTAGCACACATCTTGTAACCATACTGAGCGCTATAGAAAGGTGGACTGTACAAGGCCGTCTTCACTCCATTGATGGCATCTTGCCGTTTTCTCTGGTAGCTTTCAATCTTCCAGAGTAGAGTGCCATTGTAACTGTGGATAACTTGTTGTGCACGCGGACCTCTTTGAGACTCCAGATCGGTAAGTTTGACTGTATTCAGAGCAAGAGACTCGTCCATTTGATCCATCCTACTTCGCAAACGATCAATAATTGAGATCTTATCTCTCACTTCTCGCTCTAAACTCATATTCCGTTCACGCAAGTTGCTGCTTTCAGTAGTGAGGTCTCGAAGTTTACTCTTCAGCTCCTGCACTTCATTCCTGTTCCTTCCATCACCACCACCACTGGACTCCAAACCTTCAATCCGTCTTTCCAAGCCGGTCAACTTTCCGACAACCATGACAAACTTCTCGGCCAAGCCAGAGCGAACCTCCGTAATATCATTACCAACTTTCTGCATCATCCCTGTGAATTCCGTACGTGGAATATAGTTACTCAGCTGAGAAACAAAGGAGAGAATATACTGTAGCATTAACCTGACGTGATTTATCAATCCATCGTTTGCATGTTGACGTAACTCCTTTCGCTTCAAACTCTACAAATTGAATAAAAAATGAATTGTAAATAACGATTGACAAAAGACAATAGACCTTATGCATAATGACGTCACAAGGCTTGATGCCCGCGAGGAATGCTGGTCTTAGTAGTCATCGACCGGGAAAAATTTCGATAGTGGCCATTTTGAATTGTTTAATTTTCCCGGGCGATGACTACTACTAAGACCAGCATTCCTCGCGGGCATCAAGCCTTATGACGTCATTATGCATAAGGTCTATTGAGTGTTTATCAGTTAAGCAGTTGAGCATTTGCTCATCTATGTTTTTCAGAATATTTTATTTATTTAAAATACTCATTAATAATTCATAAACCTTGTGGCAAATCATGTCAGCCATAATATGTCACGTGGAGTGACTTTATATCTGATAAAGCATGTGGCATTATATAATTGTTCATCCTAATTAGTATGATTATATAATGGTTCATCCTAATTAGTAGTCTTTTGTAGTCGTATTTTAAGCTATTCAAAACACTCGTTGTCGTGTTTTATCAGACATAAAACGCTCGGCTGCGCCTCGCTTTTTATATCTGATAAAACACTCCTACTCGTGTTTTAAATAGTACTTATACTACTCATCTTTTATCTGGGATTTAATTTTAACTATAACACCAGTAACTGCTGATTTTATTTTTGTTTAACAAAACATACTCCCATGCTCAGATTAGCATTTCTATAGCGTAAATTTACATGTGGTATGATCAAATGTGCTTTACATCAAGTATTATATGCTTACCTAATTACATAGTTAGCCTAGATTATTTTATCTTTACAACAATCACGGGCGAAACTAGCCCCTTTTAATTAGGGGGGGGGGGGGTGTCTGGCACAGAGTTCAATATAATTCTGAAAACTTTGTCTATCATTGTCAGGCCACCCCATGTTTTGGTCGGACATGATCGGACACTTAATTTAATTATTCTCAAGAGGGACGTTGTCAGTTGTCACAGTACTAGAAACCAAAACCGTAACAACTACCAAAAGTCCAAAACCATATGCATAATGGTTAACAAAATTACACAATATCAACGAAAACTTACTCAGTAACAGTATATATATTAATAGACGCGGTTGTTTTAATAATTGACGAGATGACATTGTTATTATGTGGATCGGGACGAAGTCAGATTCTATGATTGTTTAGCAGACGGAATCTTTGTTTGCGTGTGTTAAAGATTACATATTTTGTTAAAAAGATTTGCAACAATAAAGGAAGAATTATTCAAATTAATGAGACAAAACAGTCGGCCATAATGTCCGTGCAGAGCAATCAGTAGACGGCCATGTCAGCATTTTGCTCGGCTAATGGCCGGTGGCCGACCGTTATATTGAGCTCTGGACTCTGGCAGAATTGCCCCGCCAAACTCCAATGATGCCCTGCAGCGCCAGCGCTAATACAATACATCACTAAGCTACGTGTATAATTGAACTGCCGATGCTAATGTACATGCATACGAACTGCTTATTGTTTGCTAGCTGTAATAAGTTACTTAATAACTTTACATTCTATCATTTAAAATCTTTGATTGCCCTGCCAATCGGGATGATTCGGGTTTTTTTAGGGGGGAGGGGGCGTACCCCCTCAAGTTTCGCCCCTGACAACAATTGTGATATTACTTTCTTCACTGTGTTTATCCTAACCCACCCTGTCAACTTTCGCGTGGGAGGAAACCAGAGCACCCGGAGAAAACCCACGACTTTCAACAGAGCGTTGACAGACTCTTTTCACATGAGTCCGTAGCGAGAATCGAACCCACGAACTCAGAGGTGAAAGGCGCTTACTCTGATGACTGCGCCAAAAGAAACGCATGTAACAAAAGCGAATGTAACAAAAGAAGACACGCGCTAATATTTCGATTTTCATTTCAAACTCATTGTCAAACTTCTCTACTCTTCAAATACTGTAACATCTAACAAACTACTTTTTCACGGAGGTCTCACACATCAAATTCAAAAATCCGCCGCTAAACACTTAGCTCACTTTGCAAAAGTAGGTTCGATTTTGAAATAAAATCGAAATATTAATAATAATAATAATATATTGGCGTGTCTTCTTAGTTTTTTGAGCGCACAAAATACTATAATTTGGAGTATGTTTTGTTTTGTATTTCTTAAAATTGTTGGTTGGAATAGGTTCTTTATACATGATAGTTCTAAATTGTTCTTCCTTGAGGTTCAGTTATGGTCGTCGCTTACTAGTAAGTTCAAGCTTCACATTTGAGCACAACGATAAAAGGTAAAGTCGATTTTTCTTGGCAGAATTTTAGTTTAAATTCTTTGCTTCATATTTTCTTTCTTTTGTCAGCGTGAAGCGTAAACATTTTCTTTGCCCGGCGTTGTCGCTTGACGTAGAAACGCGAAGCTTATAAACTCTCTATTTTGTTATTACAGGAATGAAACCTAAACTGTGATACTGTGTTACCATTGGCTGATAATACTGTGTTACTCATTGGTTGATAATATTGTGTTACCATTGGTTGATAATACTATGGGTTGATAATACTATGTTACCATTGGTTGATAATACTCTGCTACCATTGGTTGATAATACTGGTTACCCATTGGTTGATAATACTGTGTTACCCGCTAAAAATTGGTTGATAAAACTGTGCTACCATTGGTTGATAATACTCTGCTACCATTGGTTGATAATACTTTGTTACCATTAGCTAAAAATACTGTGTTACCCATTGGTTGATAATACTGTGTTATCATTGGTTGATAATAATGTGCTAATTGGTTGATAATACTGTGTTACCATTGGTTGATAATACTCTGCTACCATTGGTTGATAATACTTTGTTACCATTAGCTAAAAATACTGTGTTACCCATTGGTTGATAATACTGTGTTATCATTGGTTGATAATAATGTGCTACCATTGGTTGATAATACTGTGTTACCATTGGTTGATAATACTCTGCTACCATTGGTTGATAATACTGTGTTACCATTGGCTGATAATACTGCAGTGTTACCCATTGGCTGATAATACAGTGTTACCCATTGGCTGATAATACTGTGTCACCCATTGGCTTATAATATTTTGTTAGCCCGGGTTAAAAATGTTGTGACATCATTGATTGATAATTCTTTGTTGCCATTGGTTGAAATTATAACAAGATAACTACATATTAGTGTTGGTATCGAAAACTGGCCACAACAAAACATTACCTGTGTCACCCATTGGCTTATAATATTTTGTTAGCCCGGGTTAAAAATGTTGTGACATCATTGATTGATAATTCTTTGTTGCCATTGGTTGAAATTATAACAAGATAACTACATATTAGTGTTGGTATCGAAAACTGGCCACAACAAAACATTACCCCATCATGATGACAGCCCACCACATTGAATTCACATGTCCCTGGAACCTCGTCGCATATCAGTTGTTCGTGTTGTTCAATGTCCTTTCTCAAGATTTCAGCTTTACAGTATCTACAATTCACGGGAGCACCTTCGCAGACCGTTCCAACATGTGCCCAAACAAGCAAAGAGTTTACAGTAAAAGCCTCACATAAAAGAACCACTGGGTTAACTGTTAAGAACCACCAGTTTGAAATTTGGGCAATCATGGCACCCAACATACAAGTGAGACTGGTTCTTAAAGTAGAAAGCATGTACTGCGGGCAGGTATAGGCGGGTACAAACTTAATTTATAATTTATAAGAAATATTTTATAAAATTTGGAGGCATTTCAACAGCAACTATTCGTGTAATAGCGTCATAAGCTCACTAAATAAGAAAATACTTTAAAACACTAAACTAGGAACAATTGTCTCTGACTAGAAATTCGAACCACTTAATACACAACTTGACAAGATTTGCCCAGTATCAATGGGTACTTAGGGTGACTGTATAAAAACCACTTCACCCTGACATAAAAATAGTGGTTCTTTCATGCCGGTTTTTACTGCATTTATTATTCAACTTTCAAGTACACTGGGGTACTCAGGCGAGCTCATCCAATAAATAGAAAGATTTAGATCGAGGACGCGGACGTCAAAGACGACGTGAAAATGGCGTGTTGTGCCCATGTATGGATATGCCACGCCATTTTGACGCCATTTTCACGTCGTCTTTGACGTTCGCGTTCTCGATCTAAATCTGTCTAATATGGTCAAAACGAGTTCTGACAGAACGGAAATAATTAAGTTTTACGTCAAACGATCATAGACGACAAGCTTATTGTAACAATTTAAAACACATACAAAATGTTAAATATTTACCTGAATCGATGCAAATGGAACATCTTTTCTGCAATACTGACACTTCACATTCCGATATTTACATTCGCTTTGCAAATGTTCACCCAAATGAGAACGCAGGAACTTATCCTTGCACTGGGTATGAATACAACTTATTAAGCGAAAAGCACATTCTGCGTCGTGTTTCTAAAAGTAGGAAATTATAATCACATTCTACCATCTTATATCTAAAATCTCGAATGATGGTAACTGAGGTATGAAGGAGATACAATCATGGGCATAAGAGACAGGGGGCCTGGAGGGGCTGCAGCCCCCCTCCTCCAAGTGGGTGTTTCGTCGGGCAAACTGTATTTAAAAATCGGGCAATTTTCTAAACCTTTGTTTCATATAAATTCAAAAATAATGCAGTAGAGTGATGAGTTTTGGCATCCTGAAGAATGAAATCTTAGAAATACTCATAAATAATTCTATACTTTTTATTTATGGTTTTAAGATTGACGTTTTGAAATGTCTTCCTTCTACAACCCATGCTGGGCAATTCCATCATCGTCGGGTAATTTTTTGCCAATCCCCCCTAATTTTTTCCGCCCGTATTCCTATGGATACAAGCGAAAGCAGGAAAGGAGGGAGGGGAAAAGGAAAGAGAAAAGGGAGGGACGAGTTTATCTTTTCCCCCAGTCTTCCCACCTCCTTCCTCCTTCCTCTCTCCCCTCCCCACTGTACTGTCTTTCTAATTCTCTCCCAACCTAAGTTTTCATTCCTCCAACCTTCAGCCCACCCACAAACGCACCTGCATCTCTTCATTAGTGCAAATCCATGAACACCCCGTGTTCGGGCAATGCAGGCGCAGATTATTCAGCTCACGTTTAGTAAAAACATCGGGGAAAACCTGTAATGGAAATATTTTGCAAATCATTAAAGATAAAACTGTATTATTTACTGGTGATACAGGTTGTCTGCATGTATTTGGCGTCACGTAACTAAATTGGCAGGATGGAAGGTTTCACAAAAGAATTACACACAAAAACTGCGCTGTTCTAAGGACTGTGCGTCAGTGCATGCTAATTATCTGCTATTGCAGTTTATAACTGCAATGCGAAAAACGCTGCCAGGGTGTTAGCTAAGTCAAGAATGAATCGTTCTACGTTTTGTTTCTCCAACTACGTTTATTATAATTGCTAGCAATTTCGCAATTTAGATCTGTCAAAAATAATATAACTATTACGAAAAAAGTTTTTAAACTTCAAATATCGCTCATGAAAGATTTGGTGTCCCGAGAATGCCATCTAGCCCAGCTTTTAGTCCGAGCACCGAGGAGGTGCGCACCAGCTCCCCTGAAATAATTTTGCACCCTGTGAAAGTCGAATGATGGATCAAAGTGAAACTATGACTCAAACTTAGCAGAATGAAGGTTTGTTATTATTTTTTTGTGTTGCTTAACCCATCGAGTGGCAGCACTCTCCCATGACGAGTAAAATCGTCCAAGGTTAGACCAGGGCGTCTATAAGAATTCTTATAGACGCCCTGGTTAGACAGAGTAAAATTCTGTTACAGTTCTCTTTAGAAATTGGTACTTCAATAGAACTGTATATCTATGGAACTGTTTGCCTTGTGATGACAAATTGTCCTCTTCCTTTTTATCCTTAAAACTAAACTATACGTGTACTACAAAAATAAACTTAACAAGATTAAGGCCTAGAACTTGGAAAACACTGTACAATAAGTGTCGTTCACTGCAAACTGTTGCTCATAAATGTCCAGTATTGGCATGCTCGATGGGTAAATTATTTGTAAGACGTATAAGATTTCTTGATTTATAAATCCTTTTTTTCTTGATTGATTTTCTATATGAGTAGATGATTTTCGGTAATCGATTATCTTAATTTGAATTTACCCCTCGAGCAAGCAAATTAGTTAATTGTTCAATCTAGTTTTGTAAGTACAACGTAATCTTTGTCTTGTAACGTTTTGGTGGGACTTAGTAAAGGGACTTATGCTCTGTTGTCCTTAGCATCGATTTTTACATGATTGTTTTTTAACTAACACTCTAGGGAGAACAGTTTAGAACTGACAGAGGTATCCAGTATAAATAAAGTTAGTTTATTAAGCAATTAAAGAAAATAAAGTAGCGAGTAGGGCGTATCAGGGTGCATAGCCACTTAAAGGGTAAAGATCATCACTGTGTCAATTACCTTTTACAG